GTCTGCCTTTGTTTCCTTTGGAAATCCAGTGTATCTTCTAGTCACTTAATACAGCATGGGCCTCAGAAACCCAGACTTCATAGCACCACAAGCCATTTCTCCCATTGTGGGGTCCAGAAGAGATAGCAGTTTGTCCTTTAATGTCCTCAGACCAGGTTATTCCTGAAAAATGGGCTGATGGGTTGGGCCTTGAATCTTACCACCCTTATTTAGTCACATGGACCGCTCTGGTTTCTAAACCATCCGACTTTGTCCTTGGAGAGGGGAAACCATCATTTATCATGAAACAATTTACTTTATACAGTGATCCAGACCAAAATGTTTCTTCTCATGATATGACAATATACTGGAGAATCTGAGTTCCCTTTGGGGAGGACAGTGAAGGCGTATTGCATTTACTATAGGTGCTGAAATAAAGCGTGAGTTCAGTGTATCCAATTATTGTAGCCTGCTTTGTCCTGCTGGAACTCTTGAGTAGCTTTCACTGTATCCAGTGTGACAGAGGCTGTGGGGGCTTCTCCAGTGGATGTAAACAGCAGTGGTCAGCCTGCAGGACCCACCAGGTTCCATCCCAGGCCAGACAGGCTATTCTGGGGAGAATCAATGAGAAGAAGCACCACTGTCCCCCCACACCCTTTATCAGAGATGGGAGTTCCCATTATCTTCCTGGAATCCTGTACTGTTGGAATATTCACTACACTGAAAGATTTAAGCGATTCTAAAGGCTTCCATTGTGTCTAATTAAACCTGGGCTAAGGAAAGACCTGTGCACTATGAGACTCAAGCCAGAAACGGGGGATCCTTCACTTACGAGTGACATGTTGAGCCAAAGGCAATGCCACCGACTAGATTTACTTTATTCTCTTCCTTCCTAGCTGCAGATTTCAGTACGACCAAGATCTCTTAGCCTTGTCTTCGTGTTCCCAGCAGTATTTGCTCTGGCATCAAGCAAGCCCCCAAAGGCTGTGTTCACTAACCCTTGGCCATTCCACCTGAACCACAGCCTTCGAGCCCCACTCAGAGTTGGATAAGGAGGTCCTGGCCTCCGAGTCAGCCTTTTTGTTTCAACTGCCTGAACTGATGGAGGAAATTCAGCAACCCAGTCACAGCGTCCAAGCCTTTTGTTCCCATTCTCAGTTAGCACCAGGGGGATTTAACTTCTGAGATGAAAGGGGCAGATCTAACAGGGTTCGTTAGGGGAGGCAGATGCAGAAGCCAGAACGGGCTTCCTCCTTCCAGTGGTGATAATGCCAGGAAATCATTCACAGGAATCCTGTTCAATCTTCTCATATTCTTTTTTTGTCCCAGCAGCTGCCTAAAGAGAGCTCATACATTTACTCTGGCCATGATCTTAACCCAGATTTTCTTGCCATCAGTGAAACACAGCATGGTGACTGCAAAAGCAGGACCACGGGAGGGTGTGGCTTAGGCAGGCTCACTTCTGATTGTCACAGGGCCAGCCCCAGTTTGCTAGGACACTTAACAAATCTCCCTCCTGCAGAAGTGGTTCCACTTCACAGCAGGGAGAGGACCCATCTATTTTCCTTCTCAGTGACATTCACACCACCCTAGGCTTTCCCTATTTCAAAGGGTTGTCGTTACTATCCCTGCCCATAATTCCGGAATGAAAAACATTGCAGCATCTGGGGATCAGCATCCACTCCAATAATCAACTTTTCATGACGCAGTGCCCAAACATACGCTAGCTCCTAGGTGAAGTAATCTAAGGTCCAGGAAAGCGTGGATTGCCCAGATACCTGCCAGCATATGTCACTTCTCAGCACAGCAATGCAGCTCCTGTGGACTGTAATTGCTTTTTCTGTCCTGGTGGCTACTAGTTGCTAGGAATGCACAGTCTGAGTGGAGACCTGCTGTAGATATATATACATGCCAGATTACAAGGATCTACTGTGAAAAGGAATGGGAACTATCTCCTTGATTTTTACTTCAAATAAATGTCAGTATGTTGAACATATTGAGTTAATTTTTTTTAAAAAATTAAAACTAATTTCTCTTGTTTCTATATTTCTTTGAGATAGAGTCTCACACCGTCACCCTGGGTAGAGTGCCATTGCCTCTGCCTAGCTCACAGCAACCTCAAACCCTTGGGCTCAAGTAATCCTCCTGCCTCAGCCTCCCAAATAGCTGGGATCTCCAGCACCTGCCACCATGACTGGCAGTTTTTCTATTTAGGTGAGATGGGGTCTTGCTCTTGCTCAAGCTGGTCTTGAACTCCTGAGCTCAGGTGATCCACCTGCCTTGGCCTCCCCGAGTGCTGGGATCACAGGTGTGAGCTGCTACTGCATCTGGCCTCTTGTTTCTTTTCACTTGTTAGCATAGTTAATGCGAAATTTAGAATTCCACACACAACTTCCCTTTGTGGCTCAAATTACATTTTCATGGAACAGGGCTGCACTGTAGCCACTTCTTTCACGCAGATTAATTTATGGGAAATAAGGAACTAATGGTATCTTCAGCCACTTTCCCTTTAGTTTTATCTCACTGATCACCCACCTGCCAACTCAACAGGGGAGAGATCTGTGCCATCCACACTCCAACAGTGAGACTCTACTCAACCCTGTTTTGTTTCTGTAGAACTTTTGGTGCCTAACACCCACTTTGTATCAATGACAGCTTCTCTTCAGAACTCCCTTTTAGAACTTTTGGCCACATTGGGTCTGACAGGCTCTGAAAGTTTGGTCAGCTGCTTTCACCACCACTGAGATTTGTAGTTCAAAGTGCTGTTCAGAATCTTCAAACACCTGTTGGCTTCTACCTAACACGATATTTAGCTTTCTAGGAGGACATGAGGCCCAAAGCCTGTCAAGCCAGCAGCATCTTCCCCGCATAGAGGCTCAGCACTTTCTCCAGAGTGTGGCTTCCTCTGCCCGTTGCCCCCACACAGCAGCAGTTGCATACAATCACTGGCCTTGACACAGAGCAGTTACAGCTTTGGCTTCAAACCAAACTTAAATGCCACCTAGTCATGTGGGCCAAACATCACCAGGCCAGTAGGCAGCCCTCACATGCAGGTACAGTCCTTGACAGCAATGAGGATGACTCCAGTTCCCCACAGAGTCTAACTCTATCGTTTTCGAGGAAATGCTATAGGAATCAGGGGTCATTCCCTGCAGCCTCGGCCGGATGTCACTCTTTATTTGCGGACAGTTATGTGAAAAGATACAACTGAGAAAAATTCAGTTGTTCATTATGTTCATCTCTGTGTTCATTTCTGAGAAACCCTAATTCCAGATGAGCAGCTGGAGTCACTGATATTTTTAAAAGAAGTTCTCCAGAACACATCATTTGAAAGGTAGTCAGTAAATTTTACCTTATTGAATGCATCAGCGGGAATACTGAAATCTTAGCAGTTTGGTAATTAATTTCCCAAATGTTTCAACTACTGTGTCAACACCAGATCATAAATGCTCATTGAGAAGCTGCCTTTCATCCTACTCTGAGATAGAATTTTTTTAAACACACGGGCTGATAGTTCTTGAAAATAACTTTAAGAAGTTATTTCATACTTCAACATTCAGCTAATTTGCACACAAAATATTATAAATTACCCAGGCAACCTGTGTTTTCCTTTCAGAACACAAACACCAGCATGATTTGCCAAATAACAATGATACTATTTTTAGCATTTACCTAAGAACAGTTTAGTTCTTAGTATATATAGCTGCTTTTTTCCAAGATGCAAAAAAAGGTCAAAGAGAACAATGAACAATACGCTTGCCTGAAAAAGTTTTTGTGGAAATTGAAGAAATAGTAGTATAAATGAACATGCTTATTAAAAAGTACTAGAAAAAACTGATTTCTGGATTTTGCAAGATTACAGGTAATTGCAGGTAATTTGGATTGTCAACTTTTATTGCAAATGTCCTTGAAATTCTTTTAGGTCTTTTTTTTCCCCACTCATTATATGCTTTTGTTTTTCACATAAATTACCTTAGTTTTGCAAATCCCCTAAAAACTATTTTATACATTACTGAGTCAATTCAATCATCTTCTCATTTTTAGAATCCATAATAACTGCTGTTTTTCACTTTCATATTTTGTAATATGTGGTTCATTGAGCAACTACTTTTATAGACCCAAAATAATTTTCCAGAATTTGAACCAAATAATTATGAAAAAGTATTATCATAGGAGAGATATGACTTTATAAAATTTCTTATCTTTTAAACTTTCAATTTTAGCAGCACTGACTCCTTATTTATTAGATATACCCATTTACTGTTACCTCCTAAATAAATGTGTTAAATTATTAATTTTTAGAAATTATTAATTATTGTATTTCTCTATCATGTGCTTATTAAATAATTTTTTTCATTTTGGTTTTCATTTCATTTCAAATGAAATGAAATGTGCTCCATTCAAAGTAATGACACTTTTTAGAAGAACATAAGTAGTTATAAATAGTAGTTTCTTTAACGTGAAATAAACTTCTGCAAAATTTCATTTACAATTTCAACCACACCAATGTGCCTGAAAAGTAATTGTACATAAATTAGGATACATGACTATCTTACAGATTTTCCAAAAATGTTAGTGTAAAACAGAAAAGAAGCATAAAGCAAATATAACAAAAACCAAGCAGCGTTACTGAACTACACTATATCTGCCAAGAACTAATTCAGGATTGCAGGACACAAGCATTAAGAATTTGGCCTCCATGAAGCGGGAAAGACTCAGTCCATGCTGCTGGTATCTTCCCTTTTGACATCAGATATTTATCACAATGCAAGTTTCCCCCCAAACAATAAATGAACACATATAACGCAACATCCCAATGTCAGAATTTTGGTTTTTCTATTAAAATATACCTTTTATTAGCTTCCTATGTATTAATGGGCATTCTATATGATGTAGAAGGAATAAATGGATAAAACACCAATGGGGACAAAAACAACCCATCTTCAAAACTTAAGTGAGGAATCTGAAATGCTTGCTATGCATTCTGTTACTAAAGGGGGTTCTTACATTTTCTTTGACAGGATGATGAGGGGAAGGAAAGTCGATTCAATTTCACAGCCTACGGAATGGGACCATGTCTACCAGCAAAAGACAGTGTCACCCCTAAAGGCCCAAACCTTCCTGTCCAGGTAATGCCAAAAAGTCCTGATGAAATGAGGAAGGTCTTTATCAACCGTGCCAAGAAGATTGACACCATCTCCCGAGCCTGCTTCCCATTAGCCTTTTTGATTTTTAATATTTTCTACTGGGTTATCTATAAAATTCTTAGGCATGAGGATATCCATCAGCAACAAGATTAAATCTCTGGGAGCATGCAGGTGGAAATGGTCAGAGAAAGCCAGAGAATTGCCATAGGGATGCATGCGCGTGTGTGTGTGTGCGCACAAATGATGACCACTGTATTACAATGGCATATGGGAAGGGCTTGCATTTTGATTTGCAATGCAAAGTCATGAGACAGATGAAGATTCTTTTAATGGATATAAAGTATATAGTATGGGATTTTATTTTATACTAATTCAAGATGATTTTTTTCACAGTAAATCATATAAGTAGAAGCTTTATTGGAAATGTGTCTGTATTATGGTATATGTTATACAATTATTATATATGTTATCTAACATCATGTAATAGACATGAAAACTACTTTTGAATTTCTTGATTCTTATTTCAAGGCTGTTAAATCCTACAAAAGAGGAATCTGCACAGTAAATTTATATGAAGAAAAGGGAGGAGTGTGATGGAGATAATGCAAATCAATAGCTTGAGATGTAAAAGCTGTCTTCTTATGGTATGCTTAGAAATAGGAAAAGAATCAGTTAATTAAGTGGAAAACTCTTGCATATTAATAGCAGATTGCACATACAAATGCTATAGATCCAATCTATCTAATTATAAAAATTTTCAACTTAGAAGATTAAAATAAAAGACTTATATTGTTTAGAATACTAAACTTAATTGTTTAGAAGACCAAACTTTCCCTGTATGCAAATTTAAAACAAATAAGAGAACAGAGATCACATTACATTCAGAACCTACTTTTCTTAAACTTTACATCTCAAGGAATGGAAGTGGAAATACTGAAGCAATTCTGTTTTTAAATAAGTGTAATAGCCATATATTTTTAGTTATTGCCAAACACTGAAAAATGCAAGCTGGCACCTTTGTTTTTGACAGGGTTTTAATCATGGCTGCTTAACTGTACGAGATTGTGTTTCATGTTTTGTTATAATTGAACAAAGTTCAGTAAGATTTTTATATTTTAGCTTTAGAATGAAACTTTAAAATTCAATGGGATTAAAGTATTTATATTTGATAAAAATGAATTCATAAAAGATGTTTTTAATGAGAACAGTTTTCCCCTCAAAGTTATATGGGTTCAAACTCTTATCTCTAAATATAAGAAAGGAAAGTTTTAATTCTAAGTGATATAAATACTCATTTCTATAAGGCAAAGATTATTTTATATATTTGAATTAGTGATTTCAAAATATAAGTCATTCACAAGATTTCAATAATTTTAAATGAAATTTTTATATAAAATTTATCAATGACCCTATGGGATTACATCAACTCTAATGGGGCATTAACTTGTTTTGTAATCAGGTGTAAAGTATGATAGAGTTCTTGGTTAAACCAAATAAGACTCTGATTCTTTTTCAGTTTTGCTATTTTTTAAAAATTATTTTTACCATCAAGTCTGTATTTGAAAAAGTTTTAGAATGTTTTTTTAGATATTTTAAGTATTGGTCATGTGCTTTAAATGGAAATTCAGTATAACAAATTATCCACAGAGAAATATTGAAACATCAAGTGACCAATTAACTCTGATGGAAGATAGAAAAGTAAGCCAGTTCTTGAATCAGATAGTATTATTCTCTGACTTTCCATCACTCTCAAAGTAGAGGCAAAACCTGCCATTTAAAACTATACACTTTTCAACATTATTGCATTTCAGCCTTTTCAGTTGTAGTTTTTAAAAATATCTTTTTAAAAAATACACTCAGCAGTTTCTGCTAGTGAAAAACCAAATTCCCCCCTTTCATAAGTAATTTAAAACAGTACAATAAGACATCATACACAAGTGCCACAACTAAAGGAATTTATTACTATGTACTTTTCTTAATTTGAGACCTGTGCACCCAAAAGTTAAATTCTATATGTGTCCTCATTTGGAGAACCAGAAACCATGCAAATATATTCTTGAAGTGAAGATCAGAGCAAGTCAGGTGCTACAATCCAGTGGTTAGAGTACTGCGCACCTCACCGTGAGTGGCAGGTTCAAACCTTGCCTGGGCCTGATTGTGAAGATGAGAGCACGATACATTGTTTGTACTTCCTGAGGATTAGGAAAAGCTGAAGTGATCAAAGCAAGCAACATTGTCTCAATGTCTCTGAAATACCTGAATACACTGTTCTACACTTTATACACCTTATTTAAAAATTTTCCAACATTCCTTAAATTAAGTGAATCCTGCCAGAAGCAAGCAGAAATATAATAAACATACACATGTGTACTTCCAAAAGCATTCACAGACATCATTTGTTTTCACATTTGAGGACATTAAAAATGTCTCTTTTAAAACCTGAAACTTAAAAATGTAAAAATACCAGCCATGAGACCGTTTGTCAATAATAGCACTGGTATATTAAAATTCTACCTCAAAAATACTATACTTTCCTTCAATTTAGTTTTCCTTTCCCATTATAGTTGTTACTGTTTTACTGCACTAAAAAAATTGAATACTATAACAGCCTTTACTCACAAGGCAAAGATGGCTGAATCCAAGATGTTTAAAGGAACAAAACTCTTAGAATGGAAATATGTCTAATGAGCCCTAGCATAGATTGGTAACCATCTTTGCGGCCATAATGCTTCCTAACCCAACCAATATTAGAAAGGGAACTTCCATAGGGAACCACCTGGTATTCTAATCACTTGAAAGGCAAAGTGATGCATACTCTTCCTAACCAAGATACTTAGAGCCTGTGTATAAAATATGACTTCCTGCAATTTAAAAATAACTTGGGCAGGGAAAATATCCTGGAGAAGTTTCTCCCAGAAACCAGGTCAAAAGACAATAGAAATCTCAAGCTGTAGCTATCCCATTCTAAACTGCTATAAACTATCTGCCTTAATGCTGGCTTCATCTTTCTCTTTTTCCTTAAACACACACACACACTCCTCATAATCATCAAAGGGAGTGGAATTTATTGAGGAAAGGTCCATAATCCTGTGAAATGTCCAATAATACTAAGCGATTCCTGATAGAAATTATAAACAGCACAGTTATGTACATGGCCATCTCTTAATCATGAAATAATATTTTGTCTCGAAAACACACAAAGCTACCTAGATCAAATCTTTTTCTCACCCTTAACAATGGAATTCTAAAACATTTGGATTGTCTTTGAAGAATGGCTAAATATTTGTCCAAAAGTTCTTCTAAAAGACAACTAGTGGTATGGGATGCTGTGGTAATGTCTTCACAGGTAGTTTTCTTGGGACACTTTTTATAATTCTCAAGTAAGAAAAATATGAGAACTTTAAAGGGAATGGAAAATTATTTTTTTAAGTGTTTCTGAATCCTGGCTGTATACTGAAATTCCTTACATGTTTTTAAAAATACATACATGTTTGGTGTCCAACATAGAAGTTTATGATTCAGTCATTTAAAGAAAAATACATTGAGCACTGTAGGTATGTTCAGCACTGCTCTAAGGGCTGACATCACTGTCTCAGTCAGAACAGGTGAAATTCTGGATTACTGAAAAAACTCCACGACTGAGACCTATGAAACGAATATACAAAGAGGACTTCACGTGCTAAACAGCCCTGAGATCTCTAGTGAACATACACCGAGGACTTCACATGCTAAAGAGATCTTTCCAGGTTTATAAACTAATCAAATATAAAATTAATCATCTGCACAGTAAATGGAAATGAATAGAAATTTCTATGCAGATTATTTCCAGTAACCTAAATGTCTTCCTAAAAGTTACTAGTAACTTTGAATTAAATAAATATTTAAAAATTGATTTTGGGTATGAAGATATTATAGAAAACCTTAGTAACATGAATTAAGAAAACTAAAAAACATAACATACAATTTTAGAGTAAAAATGTAACGAATTAAGTTGTTCTACTTTAATAGTTGATTTTTCTTTGTAGTGGTTTTAGAACAGAAGCCTTTGGATACGCCCGCTTATATATGCATTATCCAGCCTGGCTTGTTAATACAGTTGAAAATGTAAGGAGCTGAGGTTTAAATGCCAGGAAAGGATTCAGCTGTAAAGCTGTACTTGAACAAGCTTGAATAATTGTGTATACCTTCACTTTTATCTCTATGAAATGTGCAATGGCGATTCTTGATAGAATTTGTATTTTAATGTATGACAGATTATAATACTGGAGGGAAAACGGATTGTAGAACCCTGACATTCTATGGATATAATATAATGTGCTGTGGCAAACAGAAAAAAATATCTCATATATTTCCCATGTACTACCAAAATGTGATATATATACTGTGATTTCATTATTGATGAGCCAAGATGTTTAAAGGACTACCAAAAAGTATTGCTATTTTCAGTTGTTAATCAGTTTTGTTTTCTCAAGTCTTATGCTCTGAGTCTTTTTGCTGTCTGGATAATATCACATTTTTCCAGGAAATTATACTGAAAATATATTTTAAAATATATGCACAGTTTTATCAACTTGTTTTTCATTATATTATCTTTAGTTTAATTCTGCAACTAACACACTCTCAGAGTTATTAACTCGTGAACGGTGTATGGTAATTATCATGTAAGTGTACAAAATTTAATCAAAAACAATAAACTTGAACACTTTTCGAGAATATGGATGCATCTTTTGTCCAATTTTTTTAAAGACCAAATTATTTTTATTTTTTATTTTTGAGACAGAGTCTAAAGCTGTCACCCTGGGTAGCGTGCCATAGTGTCACAGCTCACAGCAACCTCAAACTCTTGGGCTTAAGTGATTCTCTTGCCTCAGCCTCCCAAGTAGTTAGGACTACAGGCACCTCCCACAATACCCAGCTATTTTTTTGTTGTTGCTGTTGTTGCAGATGTCATTGTTGTTTAGCAGGTCCAGGTTGGGTTCGAACCCACTAGCCTCAGTGTATGTGGCCAGCACCCTACCCACTGAGTTACAGGTGCCACCTAAAGACCAAATTTTATCAAAGGATCATGTTTTCTTTCTGGCTTTCAACATGTGGCTACATTTCATTCTTAGTATGGATTTCTATTTAATAATGGAAATAAAAATATTTCAACTAAACATTAAAA